TCTCAAGTCCTAAATTTTCCAGAAGAATCAAGACCTTGACGAAAATTTAATATTTGTTTCCATATTCTTGAAGTGTCCCCAAATTTCAGAAAAATGGACTTTGCTAAGTGCTCGTATAGGCGGTTTTCTGAATTCTCACGCTCAAAATTTTGAACAAGTTTGCTTTGCCCAAACCTAATTTGTTCCTCTATGTCGCAGGGCTAATGAGTATGGGAAACACTTCTCCGATAAAGGTCCGGCTTGTCTCTAGCCTTCCTTCTCGGGCTATGCTTCGTCTATTCTTTCGATTTTCTCTCAGTTGTATATGTATCTCTTTTGTAGCCCCGTTTTTTTTGTTGCTGTAGACGGGGTGAAATCTACTGACATTTTGGAATTCTTTATTAAGGAAGGAAGGTGCACATTCATTAATTCTAGCATCATATTCTCCACCCATGAGTAGAGCAAAACTCTCAACAAAGAATTGACAAAATTCAGTTTTAGCAGGTTGGGAGAAACTAAAGCGATGACCTGGGGGCTTTGCTTCGGTCAAGCTCAGTTTCTCCCAAACTCGCAAATCATTGTAAAGATTGAAGAAACTTACTGTAATCTCTATTGTCTCGAAGTAAAATATTGGCCTCGAATGTATAATGATATTAATGAACAAATTTTCCTAATATTACTCCGAAGTGAGTCAACTATGTTTTCTTCAATGTTCACAAACTTTATTGGTCAGCTATATCTCATAATTCAGGGCGATATAACCTTCTTTGAAGTGTAAATTAATTGGAAGGGGATACCTACAATCATACTTCAGCAGGATTAAATCTTAACCTAGATTTTGCCCTCAAGAAATCTTCATGACCTCCTGGGAAGTTAAAAAATTTTATTCTTTTTTTTCAAAACCTCGAGGATTCTAGCTTCTCGACGCATACAAGTCACACATGAAAATCGGAGTTCCGAATGAACTTTTGTCCTGTGCTACAGAAGAGCCTGGACTTGTGAACCCTTCGAATTCGCACTGCCTCCCGAAAACCATGAGTAGTCAACAAAATGGACAGGTGGCCCTTTATCCTTTCTTCATAGATATCAAACATTGAGACTTTAGCGAAGATCTTTTGTAGAAGAAGACAAAAAGTGTTACAAGACTTTTGTTAGGACCTACATAATATTAGGTTGGCTAAAAAAGTTTGTTTTGGCATACAAATGTTCATAAGAAGTTTTCTTGTAGTTTTCTATCCATGGTTCTTTCTGGAAGATAGCTCAAAGCTTTCTCTATCAAATATCAAATATTTAGAATTTTCTATCATCTGTAAAGACAGTAACATGGCTAAATTTCCAGAGTCTCAGGTTTTTGACTTCTTAAGCTTCGTTTTCATGCTGTAATGGAAGTAGATAGCAACAACTCGATATTTCGTTACAGAGGAAGTTTTCCTATTTAGTGAATAACGATGAAAAGCGTGATCTGCCACTGTGATCTTTTATCAATAAAACCAAATTTCTTTATATATGCGCGCAGTGAGAAAACTGGGCTTTTTCACTTCATCACGGATTTTTTTCTTTAAAAGATAAGTTCTACTCAAATAGGATGCATACTCCAATTCCTGCTGAAGTGTTCTTTCAGAAATACCAACTTTGAATAAAATTCTATTCCGAACTCATTTATTAGCCAACCTAATAGTATGATTATGCGTTTCCCAATTCTTGAATCACTCCAAAACTTTTGAAGCTGTGCAGTAACAATTCTGATTTCTTCCTTCTTTTTTGAAGAGCTCTAATGAAATTGTGCAAAAATCTGAAATTCTACGCGCACTGGATCTCATTAGGCTAGGGTTAGCTACCAAGAAGAACCAGTTCTAGCATTTACCCGGTTGTCAACCGATGACATCATCAAAACATAGCTGTTCTCGAATATCAACAGTTGTTTTTGTAATCTCAAGCACAGAACGGCAACGTGACTCTGCCGAATCGTGTCGTATTTGAGAGTCAAATAACCCATGTCAAAGAGGCGGAAGATTAACCAAACCGGCCACAGTCAACCCCACTGTGTGACACTACACGCACAGCTACATACACAACTTTTCATATATCTGCGGAATTTGGGAAGATACAGTAATCTCAACTCGTCATACTCACTAGAAATTACCAAAGTTGGAGTCGTTTTGGAAGAATTTACGTGTTTTCTCTGCGACGAGAATGCCTCTAATAACGAGCACTACAGAATCTTCAATAGTGATCTACGCAGGTTTGTTAAATTTCTTTAGCCTGAAGCTAGAAACAAGCTAACATATTGTCGAGTTATTTGTAATTTGATATGCGTGTTGCACATGAGGCGCTCTGATTGACGACTTGTGAGCTTAGAAGCTGCTCAATCTCAGCGATTTCTCCTTGTTTTTTTTCTTTTTCGATTTGATTTCATATGTATTCGCTAGTAAATCACAATTCTAGAGTTTGTTACGCAAGAAAAGGTTTTACTGATGAATGCTCGAAAAAATGTCGTCGGTTGCCGCGCATAGTGTGCAGGCTCACATATTAAGTTTAAAATGTTACATTCTTCATACAATGCGTGAGATTCTCAACTTTCACTGCATTTCTATGCATCTACCGATTTCTAAACTTGTGCTTCAAATGCGTCTTTGATATCGCTTTCTAAAACAATTTATAAGGCCAGATTAAGGTATAGAAGCGGTAGCTACCAAATTAACCTTTGTTCTTCTATATCACAGTCAATCTTTGGATTTTGCGAATTTTTATTGAGCCGTAGAGATTTTGGCGTAAAGTGCCGATTACTCCGTAAGTTGAATTATTCTGAACAAATTCATTAGACGCTCAAGAAAAGGCAGAAAGTCCGAAGACATAACCATATATGTCTGTAAATGATGTTTAAGGAGAAAGCTTCCAAAAGATACTTACACTTTTCCAAATGTAAGGTAAAAACTAAGATTTTGCCCAGTCAACTACCTCTTGTGTTACTATCCCCTGAAATTCTGCTCTAACCCTACACCTCTTTCATTTGCGAGATAGTATTTGGATGGACTGAAACTACACATGGTTCCTCTTTTTGTCAGCAAACATAGGCTTTTTTCTAACACTAACAGCTTTCATCAATAATTCATATTGCGTTGCTTTTTTGCCAATGCTCCGAATAAACAATACATGCATTTGCTTTTTGAACATGTATATGGAAAAATTTCAAACACCAGAATTCCAATCAATTACCGAATTCCTTCTTCATATCTTCTCCAAAACCTAGTAATCGAATAATTTGACTTGTGTTTGAATGCATCTGTCCTTCAGCTGCGGGATATTTCCCGAAATAAACTAGTTAAGCAGCTGAGCGAGGCATTTTGAGAAAAATGGCTTCCTCTGCGCAATTTAGCTTGAGCGTGAATATTAACGATAACCCGTTTATTTTTCGTATCACAAATTCTGTAACGAGTGTATTGTAAGCAATTGTATCTCATACATTGACTATATATCCGTAGATTTGAGCAGTAAAAAACTCTGCACGTTTATAATGGCTCAGACATACTTTTGATGACTTAATTCTCGTACCAAAGTATTTATGCACTCTTAATAGGTTCAATTTTTGAACGTTTTGTTTCAGTATCTTTTATAGAATAAAAAATTAATTCCTAGTGGTGCTAAGCAAAAATTACTGCTGGCATATGAAAGCGTTACCAGAAGGAAAACATTGAAATTATACTTTTGTAAAGTTCGGTATTTGATCATGCTGAATCGTCCAATTCTGTCTGGAATATTTTTGGTTGAGGTTTTCTTCACTACCTTTTCGGACCAAAAGAACGAACCTTTGGTTGTACGAAGGTCTCCAAGAAATGTATTTTGGCATATTCCACCTTGCTATTTTTCTTCAATTTCATCCTTGTATGTGTTGTCAAATACCACATTAATTACATAATAGGCAGTATAAGGTTCAAGTAATTGGTTTCGATATTCCAAAGTGAAATCTTTGCATGTTTGGTGCAAATTATATCAACCTGATTTTTGAACAAGTTCGCCATTTTCTAGAAAATGTTTCGCTATTATTTACCACTAGATGGCTTACCCGGCTCCGCCCGGCCCTGTCATTATTATATTCGTAATCAGCATGCTCGATTACCCCCCTGCACCAACTCCCAGCCCCATAGCTCAAATTTTGCAAAAAATCGATAAAATCGATATCGATCGATGACGAAAAGTAGCCTATGACACCCGCCGGGGCCCGAAATGTATGTGTGCCAAGTTTGGTCCGGATCGGTTCAGAAATGGAATTTTCTATTCGGAACATACGTACAGACAGACAGACAGACATACAGACATACATACAAACAGACATTCAGCTTTATATATAAGAATTTAAAAGAATTTTGTTATAGTAGAGTAATATACAGCTTTACCCAAAATTAACACATCTCTCACAATAAAGGGTTTTCACTTGCTAATGTAATTAGTTTGAAATGTTTACTCAAACCTTATGTACGTGCGAAAAAAAATCTGTGTTTGCCGCTTGATTCAGAAGGTTATGTCAATATACTCGTTGAAAACGTCAAGGTTTCGTGATACAGTACGTGCGGACATCAAAGAACGCAGCTTGCAAAAAATTATTCTGGTAATTGTAGAAAAAGCATAATCTCGGCGCGCGTGAGCGAAAATTTCGAGAAATAGCGAACCTAGAAAAAAAGTGGTAGGATAGAAAACGAATTTGCATAACTATGTCAGCCTCAATGTTGTCAGTAAACTTTTCTTCTCATGATACTTTCCGTTATATAATGTTGAAGAGAATTACGTTCGTTTTGAAACCTCACGAGAGATTTATTATGTCCCAAGGAAGCAAAGACATTGCCTTTGTATCCTCCAAAATAAAGTCTTTTTTGCGAGAAGGCAATTCCAGAACATTCTTTTTTCGGTAATTTCATTTAGAAACCTCAATGCATTTCACAACTTTGAGATCACCGCCTATGGCTTCTCCTGATTGTATATACTTTGCTGTCTTCGCACAGTAGTCCTGGCATGATCTGAAATGTGTTACAGTAACCTTGGGTCACCCAATGAATAAGGTGTCCAGAAATGGGAAGATTCTCAAATTGGCACCGCTTATATGGTAAGCAAGTGTTTATAGTTTAGGTTTATAGACTTTTCGTACGTGATGATATTATCGATAAGGCTTACAATACAAAGTGCATGTTTACCAGCACTTATTAGATTTATTAGGGCTTAAGATAGTGAGGATTCACTAACTAATTATTTTCTGTCTCTTTCTTTTTCTTTCGTTTTTCTTTTTCCAAGAAAACGCATCAAAATTTTGTCTTTCAATCCTTTCTTAGATTTTGAATTTAAAGTTTTATTCCTCTACGTTTTCTAGAATCATTTTGAAAAGAAATTCCTTCTGTAGAAGTGAACATCTTCTTCTTTGCTAGGTCTGCAGATTCACGATTTTGGAAGCTTAGGCTTTTTACCTGTATATGGTCACTAAATGTTTATGAAAATTTCATCCAATTTTCAGATTGTGTTTTCTAAGATAAACTTTTGTGTGTGATTGAAAGTGGACGAAATGATTCGCACAAAAAAGACAAAAGTGTAGACAGGAAGTCCGGTACCTACTTTATATAGAAACAGGAACAATAGCATAACCTATTCAGTATGAAAAGTAAACGCTTCTTTTCGAGAACATTGATTAAAAATATGGAAATTTCACCTAAAAATTTCTCAAAATTCCATAATTATGAGAAAAAAACCTTTTAGAGCAAAGTGTGCTTGGTAAGCATAAATTCGCCTTAGCAGCCATATTTTTCTACCTTATCGATCCAGCATACTTTTTGCTTCCCAAATTACATCAGATGATTAGGCTTCACACTCTTCTTCTCCATCTCAAATGACATCGATCAAAAAAAGAATATGCTGCTGCAATAGAAAGGATTGCTATTCCTCAGCTAATTGCAGCTATTCAGTGCATGTTCTAAGCTGCTCGACAGCTCTCAGCTGTGCAGCAGCTTTTGCTGAACAATTCTATAATCTGAAAAATCATCAGTTTTTCCGATCTGATTGTACCCATGCATATGTGCGGATTTTGGCGAAGCTTATATTTTGCGCTCACATGTTCCAGTGAGTTTTTGGTTGCGATTTGGTCGCATGATATTAGGCAAATGTATTCACATACGGTAGGCTAGAAATCACAGTTGTTAATAACGGCGTAGGAGAAGGCCGATTACTTCATTTACTTCCGAACCCAAGCGAATGCATCTCAGGTTTGTTGATTTGCTAAGCTTTGAGAGTACTCTAATAGTGACAATCACTTTTTGTAAATCCTCCTTCAATGACTAATAGCTGGCATAGTTTTTTACGGACTCTTAATATCGTTGTGGAGCAAACATATGACACATTTAGTCTTAGAGCATTCATGCTCGGAGCTCATAAAAGTAAAACTTTGAAGAGGTTGCAATATTTGATATCATGGGACCAATGCTTCGGGGTTGAAAAGAACGTAGAAGATGGTGGTGCATACAGTTGAGCTCTTACTTAGTAAATTTTGAATCCCCAATAAGAAGGCAAAGCTTAAAAGAACCGTTCTTTATTGACCCGTTTCGTTCCTTCCTATAGACGAAGTACTTGGTCTCTGAACCATCTCTGAGACTTCTTAGTAAAGAGCAAGGGTATATATTAATCTGCACCAAACATTTAAAGGATCGTGTAGCGCCTTTAAAATACGAAACTTCTTCTGTGTTGTAAATTGAGAATAAACTCATCTTGAATTCTTTGTTTCTAAAGTGTTATCTTTTTTGAAAATCATAAAAATCACAAAATTTGGCACTTTATTTTCTTGTATTATTCATAAGTAGAGTTTCGAAGCGCAGTCATGAAACCTTGCACCAGATAAATGTCAATACTTATTCGAGCTTCCGTTTCATGTAAGGTCAAGTGCCCTTGGATTATCCATACCCTAAATCAAATTATCTTTACATATTGTACAATAGCGTGAGAGTTATGATTACAATTGATATGCCATTAATTTTTCCACACATTCTGGCTATCAATAATTTAGTTCGAATTCAAATTTTTTATTGATTTGTGAATTCACAATTTATGTTAGCGAAAGTCTTGGAATCGTTAAAGACTCCGGAAGTATATAGAAGCAAGGGCTCTAGTATTTTTCACGGGAATATGTTATGATGGTAGCCCAGCGCAATCTGTTAATTTTAGAAATTTTCAATAATGACAGTTATATCCGAATGTCAAGTATTTTGCTGATTTAGATAAGCTCTTTGTGTATCTGCGTCTTAGGTAAGAAACCACATTTCAAGAAATTTCCCTGTTCTATCACTTCAAGCTAACAGAAGGCCCTTCAAGGTGTTTTGAAGCTGTTTTGATAGTGTTATGTCACGCTATGCTAATTTGAGAAAAAGACGAATACTAATTTCTACTCTGCTGATGAGCATTTGAATAAACTCAATATGTTATAGATTTTTTTCTCGCATTCTAGCAGTGAGCAGAAAAAATAAGCTCATACGTGTGTCTCACATCGTCATTATGTACACAATGTATCCGTATCTACTTGTCTATTCTACATCCGAACCAGCCATGTGCGTCATTGTAACTTGATCTGTTACCATTTTTATGCATCTGCATAGCGCTTTTCATCACTTGGCGTTTGGACGACTATGCTCCATTGTTTTTTCTTCTAAAGCTTCAAATGAGCATTTTGTTAAACAGAACCATTTCTCAGTGAGTGAGCGACATAATATTAGGTCGCCACACAAGCTCTGTTACACTTTCTTCTTACTTTACTGAAAATTCTGGGCACTTTGCCAAAGTATATTTGGTGTATATGAACAGAAAGCAAAGGGCTATCCTTCGATATCATTTTCACCTTCAGGGAATTGGGTCACGACGCTAATAAGGTTTTTTGTAAAAGTATCAACCTCCATTTTTTTCTTTACTCTATAAAACTTCCATTTTTTTCATTCTTTCCGAATTTTACGAATTTCCGGAACCGTCAATGCTAATTTAAAATTCTAATTTAAATTTGATTTTAATCTAATTTAAAGACAATTTGGTCTAGGTCTTTCAACAAAATAAGTTGAAACTTGCCAACTTTAAATCGGAAAGACTCTAAAAAGTCCAGATACTAATTTTCCTTGTGCGACATGTATTAATTCAAAGCTACAGTCATCCACGCAACTTAAAAATAAGAAATTCTTCTGGGAAAATTGGGGAAAAAATTTTTTCCTTGCGTATAAAAGTTTCATCACAAACTAATACAATATTTAACTCAGAAACGAGATCAAAATAAAAACTCGGCTTACTTTGATTTTCGAATATTTCGAAATTGATTTTGTTATGTATGATAATAGGCTGTGCTCGTGCCTCGCACTTTTGTGGTGAGAGACGATTTACATAAATTTTCACCACTCACACAAACACTAGGAGATATCAACACCAGCTTTCACTAACTTGTAATCCAAATCATCTGCTGTTCTACCATCAATACTGTTCATTTTTACGTAATGCCCTTCTTAGGTCAGTTCAATTTTTATTAGAAGTAGCGCTGTTGAACTTTGTCTCCAAATCAGCTTTCTTTATTCATATTATTGAGCACATTTTGCTTTTTATGAAAAAAATGGATGAAGCTGACCAATGAAGCTCGCAATGCTGTTATTGCCATCGTCGAGTGGACGATGCATTAGCGATATCAAATTAAAAATCGTTTACAACATAGTTCCATTGTCTGCTTGTTTTGAACAGTTCGTGGTTCACCAATACATTCCATTGTTGGTAGCATTTCATTCACGAAAAAATCGTGCATCGAGCTCTGGTTACACTTTTTTAATCTCCTTATGGAATAGAGAAGAAATCAAATTTTTCTCGCGTTATGTCCAATCTCCAGATTCTCTGCCCTTCCCTTCACTTGAAAGTTCTATAGGATTAAATTGGCACAATTGGATGATTTAAAATAATTTAATTATAATGAATATAATAATCAATTTGATCAATCGCAATAACTCCTTGATAGTGAGAGAAAAATCAGAAAACATCAAACATCACAAGTCTTAATGCCTTTTCAAAAACTCAAATTCTTCAAATGTGAAATTGAATAGAAATTCCAAGCAAGAAATGATTATAGAATTCTGGTAAAGATTAATTTTCGCCAAATATTTGTCGGCATTATCAACCTATTTTGATGTACCATAATATCAACATATATTGTTAATATTATCAATGTCTATATTGACAAATCCTTGATGCTTTTTTTAGTGAAATCCATTTAGACATGAACTGGGCTTGATGGACTTTGTTCTTTTGAAATCTGCTTCTTGTGCATAGATAACGCAGCTTGATCTTTGTTCCATTTTCTACCGCTCTTTTAGCACGAGGTAGAAGTAAAATAAAAATATTATATCTTCGAAATCCTCAATGTTAAAAAAACCGGACGTTTGCCGTGAATTCTTACGGTTGAGAAAAGTCTTTAAATTTGGACCAATCAAATAAAAACACATAAGTAACGCTTGAAATTTTCAGAACGATAAAACTATATCATTTAAGTGACGCCTAAAACTATAGATATAAAACTATTCTAGTATTTTTGGCAAGTCAATGTAAAAATGGCAAAAATTAGTTTACGTTTCTTGAGTCACATAATCAATTCCACTAAAGAAAAATATAAAAAAAATGAATTTCTTGATTCCAGAAATGCCGTACGATTCGGACACCGCGCACGCCGGAATACCGAACGGCGCATTAACGATCCTCGTTATCGCCGCTGTTGCGATTGTGTCCGTCGTCATCACCTTATTCTGTATGCTCGTCAATAACAGAAGGGCTCGACGTACCCAACAACGTGTACAGGTGATTTCATTTTTAGATGTGAGTAGCTCGTAAGTTGTGAAATTTGAGATTTGAATTATACGTGTTTTTGAGTCATTTGTAATGTTCTTGAGTCGTTTGTAACTCAATAGGTGAGTCTACACTACGCGCATTAACTAGCGACACTTTTACTAGTAACTCTTCAGTAGAACCTTTTTTAACGGAAAATTGTAGAAGTTTGTACTACTAACTGATCCATATCCAATCAAATTAAAACGAACAAGGAAACAAGTCACGGCCACTCAAAGGGAAGAAGCCAGCATGGCGAGACTGTCATCCGAGCAATTTTCGAGGCAATTTTCTCGCATCAGAAGCAACTTCTATCGGCGCGAGTCGGATAAGTAGACAGTTGGGGGCCCCCACCACTATTAGGCCTCAAAATCTCATCAACCCCATTTTGGGTGGACGGTACTTTTGAGTGCCTATAAGGCCTAAGTATCAACTTTCAGTATTTTCTCCCTGTTTGAATATTTGAATACACACCAAACAATGAGATTCACCTCGAGAAGTTCTAACTTCAAAAGATGATAATCAAACTTATATGATTATAATTATATGATTCCTTCGAGTCATTCTTGCTACTTGACAACTTAACTGAATCTGCTAACCATAATTTTTCGAGGTTTTCGCGGATTCTCGATACGATATTTTGAATCAGAGGTATAGGAAGGCCGTGAAATGGCAAAAACATGGAAGTCGAAAATCTAAGCGGACGGTGCCTTCAATTCGTGGAACACTTCGCGCGTTGTGCAGTACACACTTTGTAAAGGAATTTATGCATGTTAACATAACTATAGTGATTCGCTGTCCGCACAGCACGCGCCGCGAGGTAAAATGCTTGCCCCAGTACAAATTCGTTATTGTAGAAGTCGTGCTCTCGCGACAATTCAGCCGCGCCGCGCTGGTCCTCGGCGTTTGAGCAGTCCGTGCGATCAACAATCGACGATACTTTCATAGCGCTTTTCTCAAACTTCTCCGTAGCCTTGTGATTTTATGACAACAACTTTTGTCCTCTTTTTCAGTCTCAAATATCGGCCTCCAAAACTCGTCAATTTTCCGATAATGTACTGGGGGAGGAATTTTTCTGAGGAAACGATTCCATCTGCGAACATTGTAATTTTCACATAGCAGTGTATTGAACACAATGCACAATGCTTGACACTATGAGACTTATCTGCTCATGTCTAGTGAATTCCCTTTGTTCCCTATTCTCTTTTATTCGGCTGGGTATTTATTAGTGTACATTTCTAAGGTCTGTTATGCTGAAAAGGTTTTACGAGTTAACTACGGAAATGTTGTCAGTTGTCGCGCAAAGTGAAGCTCACATATCAAGTTACAAATGACTCGACGATATGAATATTTATTCCTCTCTCAATGAACTTCGGCCTGAACTATGGTGTCTGCAATATGTACGCAGTGTTTGCCAGTAACATGAACTCGGTGGCCTCTACGTCAACAGTGCCACCATAAAAAATCTCTCCGTATTCCATTCGTTGGAAGAGAAGAAAGAGTTTCAACTTTTTCATTTCAGCGACTGAATCTAACAGGAGCAAGGGACTCGTTGTCGTCGGTATCAGTTGGATCACTTCCATCTATACCTGCGTTTCCACGAATGACGGAATTGCCCATGTATATCACACCATCACAATACGATCCGAAATTCGATGCTCCACCAACGTACGAGGAGGCCGTACGTTCAGCGCCTACAAGTCCTGTCTCTGCACCTGTAAGCCCTATTTCACTTACGGTAAGCTTCACAATACTATTCATAGCTTTATAAAAAGTTGGGTATTCATGAAAATATCTTGATCTCACAATCAGTTAAATTTTCTGCGTTTATGTTCACGAATGCTTTTGGAAGTAGAACGCTGAAGGTAAAACAACTCGGAATTTTTTTCGTCATCAGCTCGTCCTTTAGCAAATATTGACGCGTGAGAACTGCCTTCGAGTAGCTCAAAGGCAAGCTTAGTCAGAATCAAAGGTTCAAAAGACCAATTAGGTTGAGGTAGAAAACAGAATTCCATAATTTCTGTCTACAATAATAGCTTCTGTCTTTTTTGATTTCTTTTGTGAAACAGACGATCAATTAAGAACATTAAGCAAAATTTTTCAAGTTCATTTATTTTGAAAATGCTTCGGTGTGCAAAGAGTTTCAATGGTAGATTATATTGGTAGATGTTTGTCACACTGCTGTTCTACAATATGAATAATGTCGCTTATGATGTATTCAATGTTATCGCTTGGAACGTCCATTAGCAGAATTAAGGCTCCTACAAGCATTTTGTTGATTTGCATTTTCGCAGATTGTTAGACTCAAAACGTAATTTCCTCTTCAAACTACTCTAATTTCACGCGTACAAGGCGCACCTTTTCCGATTTTTCGACTAAGCCCCTCAACCGCTTTGAATTATTTCGGAAAGCGATCCTTAAGCTGTACGATTCTCTTAAACAATATACAGCAAGGCGTAGGATCCTTTGGTGGCGAAGTTCTTTGGCGTATTTGGGCTGGTCGATTTTGAAAAAAAAATCCTTCGCGCCTTGTACGCGCGAAATTAGGGTAGTTATACCTATTCTAGAGTGGTGTGACATCTTACCAAAAGCTAGCCCATTCGCCCCTTATATTGAGATGTTCTCCAAATTAGAGTTGAGGTAGACGAAACAGGAGCTAACTTCACGCTTGGAATTATGCTACGTTGCTATGTTTTATCACTAGCAAACAATGTGCTGAACGTACAAACTCGCGGCCTTGAAGGCAAGGTCCACGTTAGGGGTCTTGAGCTATTGGCAGCTTATGGTAGTAGGACCCCTTATCAGGCCATTGTGCAAGTCGCGGCGCGAAGTGTCGCTTCGGAAGCCAGAAAATCACTTTAGAATAACGAAGCATTGAGCATTTATGAGGACCATAGGTCGGCACCGCCCTCTTCAGCAATGCCCCCCCTTCCATGCGCTGCCATCAATCACCGTTGCGGAAAGTCGGCCTGCGGGTTTTCGGAACGGGGATTGTCGGGGTTTTCGCGGATTCTTGACTCATCTTTCGAATCAGAGACATGCGAAGGCCCGGAACGAACAAAAACATGGAAGTCGAGAATCTGGGTGGACGGTGCCTTTACAGTTGAATTTTCTGAATCCGAATTACGACGGGCCTTTGATTTTTTCCTCTCAAGGACGTCTCCAGAATGATTCCACCACAGGAGCCTCAACCAACACAGCAAACACGTAGACAAAGTTTGGCAGACTCTGATGCTCCGGCCAGGTAAATCTTATATGAATACATTCCTTTACAAACGTTTGGAGTTGTCCTGTCCATTTTAGCATCGATGTTAGAGTCGAAATGGCCGACATTCCAATGACTTCATCTTCACATTAGTACCAATAAGTGCTCTGAAACTTACCTCACACACTACTCTGCTGAGATACAATTACAAGAGCGAAGTCCTGGACCGCATGTGCCTCGTTGTTGACTTATTTTCACTCATCCACGTTCACTTAGTCCTGCTATTGCCTCGCATGTTTCACTGAGATGAATGCAATTATCACATGCTTTTGGCATTGTGACAGCGTTACTGTATATGTATTTATGCAATTCTCAGTCACTGTTGAGTGTTGTAGCTCTCTGGATGACCGCATGAGAATATGGTCTGTGCAGTTACGTTGTATGACTCTGCATAATTGCGTACGTCATTTCGGTCAGCCTATTTTGTACACGGGTAATGAAGATTGCGTTCATTTTGCCAGCGAGCGATACACCGATGTACAATTTGCGGGTAGAGAATCTTATGTTGCAAGAAGTGGGGTCTCGCGCGGATATGCGCGACAAGTTATCATCTACTCTATGACTAAGGAGAAGCGAGACCGCATTGCGGACATTGTCTTAACAAGTTTGAGTTTGTTCTTCCCTGTTTCCAAGGGGTGAGTAAACCTGGACGAGATAAATAACAAGTACAAACCTGCTAAGTACACGATTAGGCTTGTTTAGATAATGTGTGCAATGCGGCCTCGCTTCTCCTAGTCATAGAATGAATGATATGTACACAGTACAATTGCGCTCCCAGCTTATAGGAAAACGGACTGCGACAAGTTTTTCCGTCGCTACGTATTCATCGTGAAGAACCGTCGGAATCCTGTAACTTTATCTAAATTGGTTTCCAGAAGAAAATGTGCAAAATAACGGACTGCTGAAACCCTAGCGGTCGAAAATAATTTCACAAAATCAAAAACGTTTTGTCTGAGATGCCGCAACGTACTTGTTGCGGCAAAACCGTTGCAATGCGTTAACTTTCTTTGACATGAGTTTTACGATTAAGAAGTATATTTTGGATTCCCGGAAAATTTCAGATATTTCTCTTTTAGATATCGTATCAAGAAATCAAGAAACCTTTTTCAAAATCTGAGTGATTTTTTGGATTGTTTTCTTTAGAATTTGTAAATTTAAGAAATTCCAGAAAGAATACTGGATTCATGCACAATAACCACTGGGATGCTTTATCAATAACTCTCATTCATAAACTATGACGCAGGCTGATTTAGCCCCTCAAAGAACAGGTCAGTTCGCAGAAAGAAGGTTCAGAATACAGCACTTTATATCAATACCTGTATATTTGGATTCGGCCTTTTTTTATGACCGGCCCAAAATTTTACGAAAAACATGTTGGATGAAACTTTGCACATATAGATTCCGGGGTGTCAATAAGTTCTTCCATCAAATATTATTGATCAGCGCCATTGATTTATTGATTTTTGGCGTTTTTTACTACCGGCCTAAATTTGTACAAAGAATCATGGAATTAGGATAATTGCACACATAAACTTGGGGGCTGTGCGGTTGTCAGTAAGCCTTTATACCAATTTTTATCGACTGGGCTTGATAATTTATTGATTTTTCGTTTTACTTAGCGATTTTGTTATGGCCGACTTGCCTTGAAAAAAATTGTGGAATGTTAACGAACCTCTGCACACATATGTAAACTTCGAGGCCGAGCGGGTGTTGTTAAGCTTTTTCACCGTAATAGGCTTCATCAATTTATTGATTTTTTCGTATTCTAAGTTCTGTAGAGCTAAAAACTGGCAGAAAGGAATAGCTAAGCATGATTAGTCAAATAAAATGTCTATAACTTTAACCATTCCCTTTTCACCTATTTTTTGATTGTATGTCACATGGAGGCTAGCTGAAAATGATTAGGTCAGTCCGAAAGTTCTGTCCCACCGTTTTTAGAAAATCATAACTTCTTCCTAGCACAATGTTTTCGCATGAATAAAGACCTTTGGAAAGAGCAATTTATGCACTTTCTAAAAGTGCTTTGGCTGCTATCTACTAAGCTCGCGACGCAGAGATAAAATTGGGAAAGGAAATCATTTCAAGTTTGGAATTTTCAAGCAACCGTTAAAATATCCCAAAGAATGCCATAAAATCCAAAACAGCCACCATCCTGGACTTTTTGACCCTGTCCTTCCAGCTGAGCAAAATTCGTGCTGATCGAACTGTTCCTTTGGAATATATGATTTTTTGAAAAAAATGTCAAAAAATCACTTTTCTTAAGGAGCCGATTTTTTGGCATTTTTTCTCGAAAATCATAACTTTTCTAAGAAGAGCTCGATTAGCGCGATTAATTTTGCTCACATAAAAAGAGGGAATCAGAAAACCTAGGAAACTGGTTGTTCTAGATTTTATGACACGGTTTTGGATTTTTTAATGGGCTTGCTTGAAAATTCCGAACTTGAAGTGATTTCCTTTTCCCAATTTTATCTCTGCTTAGTAGATAGCAGCCAAGGCGCTTTTAGAAAGTGTATAAATTGCTCTTTCCAAAGGTCTTTAATCATGCGAAAACATTGTGTTAGGAAGAAGTTATGATTGTCTAAAAATGGTGGGACAGAACTTTCGGACCAATCTAATATGTGATCAAGCTTTCGCAACGGGATTCATCAACTGGCTTAACTCATAAACAATATCGATTCATTGTCATTCATTCACAAGATCAAACATAACCACCAAATCAACACTGACACTCAATTGATACCTACATAATTTCTAACTTGCCTTTTATAACATTTTTATGTTCGTTTTAAAAGGATAGGAGTCATGAAATCAGAACCAAATCTGGCAGACATAATGCACGGGGCGTGGTTAATAATTTATTTTGTCCGGGACACAGGATTGCTCCTATCAAATCAGTAATTTTTTGCAGTTTTTGGTTAACCACTTTCTTGACTCTTATTGTTAGCTCAAATGGATAGAAGATATTATTGAATCTCAATCAAATTTGGCAGACTTTTTGTGATCGTCCAGAAGGCTAAAGAGGTCATAGAATCTAAATTTAATAAATGCGGCAGAACGTGTGTTAATAATCGAGTATGTTTAGAACGTGCTGATTGAACCTATCGACTTATTCTTTCTGCAGTTTGCGTAATATCCATTGTTTAGAATGTTGAATCAAAATGAACTAAAGTTGGAATTATATCCTCAGCTTTTCTTTCTGCGTAGGATAGAAATTGAAATAATTCGTGCAGATTGGCAGATTTCCTGTAAATTTTACATTTGAACTATAGAGTAAAACAGATAACGAGGCAGCAAAGTGCCGAATTTCAGCCGGACTTGCCGATACACTGAGTGCGGCTGATTTTCAGATTTAGGTTGAAAAAAATAATGTCGCTTTTTATCTCCTTGGCATGTCATCGCAACGGGGCAAACCCCAAAAATGTGTATGGGATACCTTTGATAGAGCAAAGTAAGCTCTACAAAATGGTACTCCTGCTTTTGCATCAAGTTTGATCCATGTGAAGTTCGAAGACGAAATCCAAAAAGTTTCAACAAGAAATCAAAAGCATTCGTATCGTCCACAAAATTTCTACAAGCTGCCAATTGCTCACGGACATAACCTCGTCAAACATTCATATGTGTAGTCGCTGTGATTGTTCTCTAGCTAGACATCAAAAAATCAAAATCTTATACTTTCGCCAATGTGGTGCTGGGCCAGGGCCCGGCGGGGGTGGCGCTTTCACAAGCTGGATATCGTTTTTGGCCCGAAAAAGTAAAGGGGAAGTCGTATTTTGGAACCGGGGCGGAGCCCCGGACCCAGAATACGACTTCCTCTTTCTTTACCGATAAAAATGCACATATCATTCTTTATTCATCATTCCTTGTTGATGCTACTGTCCCATGAACTTAGATTCCAGCAATGTTAAGATTCTGTGCTCCGATCGCTAGCCTGCCCGCAGGCGGGAATTCAAATCGCAATTTTTGTAAGAGGAAAATAACAAAATAGGCTCATTTTCAATGCACAAGTAACGATATGGCACCAAATTTGCTGTATAGTTGGAGGACCATGAGCACAAAAAAGTATGAAGAATTACGAGAAACTTATGTGAATTTAAAAATGGTAAGTGTTTTCGAAATTAGGTGGCTCCCGCGCCACCTGGGAGCAACCTGGGATGGCTCCCGCGCCACCTGGGAGCAACCTGGGATGGCTCCCTGCTTCCCTTCACATAATTTCCCGGATTTCCTTACATAAATGTGGACTAGGTCAAGAGTATTACTATATGTTCAAATCCGCTTCCAAAACCACCGAGGCACCGCTTCGATACAGCCCCTAATAGGTTTCACACCGTTATGATCGGCCTCGGTAAGCGCGCTCCAATCGCAATCGGTTATTGTAAAGTGTAAAGTTTCGCAGCTGACTAATAAATGAGTAGTATCTTAGATATATTAGGTTGGTGCAAAAGTTTTGTCAGTTTTTTCAATCCATCGGCAAACATGCTAGAATGAAAATAACCAAATATTTCAAAATGCATCTAGTGCAGAATTTCTTCCTCTTTCCAGCTGCAGAATTACTATTGCGTTTCGTTGCAAGAGTGACGAGATATTTGCTGGAAATTGCAACCACTCGTTTTTACCATGCCCAAATTTCGCTAATTTTCAAAATTTTTATATGAGACTTTCGGAGAAGCCTTAATAACCAGCCGATAGGGCAAAACCTTTTGCCAACAGAAGCAATTTTTTGTAGCCCTACAGCTTGTCTTTCAAATTTCTACGATTCATTTTTTGAGTGACCAAATTTTACATTCAACCTATTTTAACCTCGTAGAACATAAAATGTTAAACACTTTAGTGACCATTCAATGCAAATTTTTCTCCTCCTTCTAACACATGTCTTTTTTCGCCGAGACAGACGAAATTTGTGGAAAAAATCGCAGTATTTCTCAATTTCAGGAGTGCGCACTGACGTAACCTAAGTTTTAAAATCTTTATAATTTGAAGCGAAAATCGCTCATTTACTTTGTAATGGTCGCGATAGTAATAATCGACTGCTGAAACTTCAGTATTCTGTAGGTTTTGCAGTGTTTGGTGCAATAACAGTTTATGCAATTTTTCCAAAACACAAGATTTTTGGAAAATTATTTAGCAAAAATCTGGAAAAGCAGCTGATAAAAAAAAAATTGCGTAAGTTGGCAAAAAGTTTGCCTTATCTGCTAGTTATTAGGGCTCCTCCGAAAATCTCATACAAAAATTTTGAAAATTAGTGAAAACTGGACGTGGTGAAAACGAATGGTTGTAATTTGCAGCAAGTATCTTGTCACTCTCCCAACGAAACACAATGCGAGTTCAGCAGCTGGAAAGAGGAAGAAATTCTGCATTGGATACATTTTGGGATGTTTGTTTATCTTCATTTTAACATGTTAGTCGATGGAATGAAAAAACTGACAAAATTTTTGCACCAACCTAATATAAACGT